AAAAAAAAAAAAAAACAGAAAAAGAAGAAGAGCAATTTTTTAGCATAAAAGAAGGAAAGGGAGAGGGGATCTTCTCTTCTTCGGAGACTGCTGCTTAGAAGAGAAAGACTGCTTGGTTTTGACATCTTCTGAGATCTGCTCGATGCTCTGCTCCAGTCAGGTGCCCTCTTCCCTGAAGCCCGGTGAGCAGGCAAAAGGGGCGAGAGGGGCAGAAAAAGAAAACGTCTGAGAAGTCACGGAGCCGAGGCCAGCCACTTGGTCCAGGTCCAGTGCCTGCGTCCCTTCCTGCAGCCAGCCAAGTACCTCGTGGAGCTCCTCGGCTCGTTTTGGAGAGAAGACAGCTTTCAAGAAGGGTTCCTGTCCTATGACCCTCAGGTATTGTACAGCTCCAGGTGCGCCGCCTCAGCAACTGCCGATGCTGCTGCCGGGTCCCCAAAGGGACCTTAAGAGAGGCCTTTGGTGGTTCTCACCTGCCAGCTGAGGCCTGCCGTCGTTACCAAGTTCATCACGCCGGCGCAAGTGCAGGAGCTGCCTGAAAGTTTTCTCTGGAGGGGTGTTCGTTGCACATGGCTGGCAGATGGCCCAATTCCGGCAATTCTTTGATACCCTTACCGGGCCGCGGGAGTTGGTGCTGGATGGCCAGGCCCGCCATGGCTCGCTGTGTCTGGCTGTGTGTGTGCGAATGCGAGCGCGCAAGGCCAAGGCTCAGCCAAAGGAATGGCTGAACTACTTGGGGAAGGCAAAAGTGTTTTGGACCTTCCTATACTTGATTCGCTGTCCCAGCTGAGGGCTTCAACATGTTTGTCCTCCCAGAGAGTGGGCCGACAGCTGCTTTCGCGGCAGGTGCACCCTTTGCTGTGTACTGGTCGTAGGAGGGTGCAGTGGCTTTCCGCGCTCCAGGCACATTGAATACTGCAACGCCTGACCCGGCGCAGCCAGAGAAGATGATGACGGTGCCTGTCCTTGCCGGGTGCTTGTGAGGTGCTTGTGATTAGCGTTTGTAGGCTGGGCGCGGAGTGGAGAAACCCAGTGTGCCTCCAGGTCCGGCTGCAGTACGACTCAGGGCGCAACTTTGTGCGGCTGATCGTCCGGACACAGCACCCTGAGGCGCCCAGAGTCTGATGTGAACTGCCCGAAGCTATTGGAAACACGCTAAACATGCTGTTCACTTACTTGACCCCCAAGAAACGGGGTGGGAGTCGAGGTGACCAACGCGTTGGCAAAGATCATGCAGACCTACCTGATGAGCGTCCGAAGCCAAGACATGCAGCATCATGCTTTCATTCCCTTGTACACTTGATGCCTGGACTCTGCTCTGGACTTTGATTTCCCTGGCAGGGATGACCTCCGTTTCCACGCCAAGATCGCGTCTTCAAGGAGGGAAGCAAGATTGTAGCTGGTTCAGGGGGACGCTGCGCCTTTGGCGCCATGACTTAGATCAGTTTCACCAAGCCATAGAGAAATGAGGGGCGAGATGACCTGAGTCCACTTCTAGGTTTCTAGCATGCTCTTGGTGCCTTAGGCCTTGGCAGAGCATGGAAGTTTGCGTTCCCACCGCCTCTCTGGTGGACCTTGTGGCTCTAATCGCTTAGTACTTGAGTATCATGAAGTCATGCACGCTTAGGAAATCGATGTGTCATGATTTGCAGAGCCGGAGCAAGACTGAGGGAGACCTTCCTAAAGACTGAAAAGACTTCGCAACCAGCCCTAGTGCCCTACGCTTCAGCGTGCTAATTCGTGCAAGATCCTGCAAGCCTCGATGGCAGCCGTGGTTCATCCAGGAGCGTTCACAGAGAGGGAGCTGGAGAGGCGTCTGCCAAGGCTGTGCGGAGCTGCGGATGTGTGCAGACATCTGGGGAGTCAAGGCGACCCATCATGGGAGTCACCATGCCCAATCCTGAAGAAGAGCCGCCGGCCTGGTCCGAGCTAGACGTAAGGGCCTCAGCCTGCCTCAGCCTGGCTGCCCCAGTGGATGCTAGCAGCTCTTTCAAAGTGATGAGGAGAGCCTACGTGCTGCGCTGCGCTTCCTCGCGTGCGCGTCGCATGTGTGCTGCGGGCGCAGGCCGTTGTGCAGGGGCAGGCCTTTGGCTCAGGTACGAGTGCGTGGATCCGGGGCCAGTTCCTGAGGCCTGAAGCTACGTCATGTCGTGTGGCGTCGCCTTGTGCAGGGCTTTCTGAGGGATGCATTCTTGCCTTCAGGGGCCCGCCTTGCTACCGCGGCAGGCGGCTTGGTTCAGAAGGGAAGCAAAGTTTGGTTCCCTTGGCTTTTTGGAGGAGTGTGCGGGAGAGTCTGTGCAGCGCATGACGGTGGTTTTGGCCCCTTGGCAAAAAGTGCTTCGGGGGGCTGCTTTGCATTGGTGTGTTTCGTTTGTTGCTTCTTTCTCTGCGGTGCTCAATTGCTTGGAAGGACCTGGATGAGACTTTGTCGCACTGCCGCCTGGAGCCGCTGGAGAAGTTCAAGCCTCCTGGCTCAATTAAAAGGGAGTTGGGGATTTCGTTGCAGAAGAAGCCACTGCTGGGCAGAGGCCGGACTTCTGCGTACAGTTCGAAGAGTCCAAGGCCAGGATCCCAGCAAAGGCTGCCAAGCCTTCCTTGCAGGTAGTGAGAAGTCTGTTCCCAAACACGTAGACTGTTGCATGATACCATGAAGCATCCATTTGAATCAGCGGCTTTTCATGAAGAATCATGTTGCTTCTTGACTGTGTGTCTTGGTGATGCAGAGAGGGGAAATTGTACTGAAGCATGCATTTACCTATTTGAACCTTGGAAGCTGCCCTCATCTTGGCGGAATGTCGGATGCGCGCTGATTCTCGAAATGCTCGCAATAAAACTGGAATTCAGACAGGGGAGGCACGCAATTTCTGCTCTCTACCGTTCCCGCCCTTCAGTGCCTCCCTGACGATTGGTAGTGGTGGTGCAATTCCAGTTGCAATCGCCAGAAAAGCAACAACAACAGCAAGAGAAGCAGAAACCGCATATAAACCAGAAAGCAGCAAGAGGAGCCGTAGCAAGAGCACTGAACAGCAACGACTACAACAACAGCATAACAAGCAGCAGCAACAACAACTACTAAGTAGTAGCAGTAACGATAGTAATACTCGCGTTGGCAATTGTAGTACTTGTAGCAGTATAGTATCTGGAATAGTAACACAACAAACAATAACAACGTCAACGGCAGCGACCACGGCATCGACAACAGCATCAGCAATAGCAACAATAGCAGCAACAACAACAACAACAACAAGGTGGAAAGTCACAATAAGGCAAGAATGACAATAGCAAGAATAATTACATCAACAATAGTTGTTATGCCGACACCATCACCGCTCCCTACCGCTCCGGCCGCTCCAGCCACTGCCGCCGCTGCCTTGCTTGGATGGAGAGGCTACAGGCTACGTGTACGTGCGGCCCCACGCCCGGCTATTCCTGGAGGTGGCGGCGCGGCTCTTCGAGGCTGTGAGCTGGTGCAGTGAGCATGCGGAGAGCATGACTTCTCCTTTGAGCAGTAGCAATGACATTCTGCCAAGTGCTCTTGTGGAAGGTGGTGGTCTTCACTGCCTCTTCAAAAGGCTACGCAGATCAGGCGCCTTTGATGCCTCGGGCTTAAGTAAGGAACGCGTTTCAAGCCCAGCTTTAGGTGCTTGATCAGCTCGATCCAGAGAGAAAGCGCATCTCAACCCGACTCTATCGTCTGCAGCTGAAGCTTCTTTAGCTTCAACAACCAGAGAAGCCACAGCCATGTTTGTTTTCAGGTCAACACTGTGTGGAACGGTCAGGCGCCTTCCTCAAGGCGTGGCCTTCGACGAAGTTGATGAGTCTTTGCACGTCTTGGCTGGGAGGATCTGCGGCGGATGGGGCGGCAGATGGATCGGTGCCTGCTAGTGGATAATTCACCCGTGTCCCTGGCCCTCTGCCCAGACAATGGCGTCGTGGTCTCCAGCTGGACCGAACCGCCTTCCTCCAGTTGCGAATCTGACGAGAGAATCTCCTGTGATCTCTATGCCAGGACAGCGGAGGATCCGGAGGACAACGAGCTCATGGAGCTGCTGCTGATGCTGCAGCAGTGCGAAGAAGAGGCGAGTGCGAAGTGCGAACAGCGAAGGGCTTTAGCTTTGCGAGGCTTGTTGTTGCAATCTTTGAGAGGTCTCCGTTCCCAAGTTCCTCGGCCAGCGGTATGGCTTGCGAGCCATGGTCAGGGCCCGTATCTTCAGTTGAGGTTCAGGGACGTTGCCTGCTACATGAGTTAGGTGCACTGCATTTGCAAGGGGAAAGCGCGCAATGCGCAGCAGCCGCAGCAATGGACGTGTTCAGCAGCCCGAGGGTGAGCAAAGTATTTCGAAGGTGCCGGGCCAGGAAGACGAGCAGGCAGATGGTTCCTCCTCTCGAAGGTAAGAAGAACGTGGCTATTAAAGGCAAGAGTTGGAAAAGACCTTCGAGAAAGACCAGAAGATGTTGAACGAAGCTGTGGCGGCTTATCAAAGCGGCCGCTGAGCTCTTTGTCGAGAAAGCCCCAACCCGCCTGCTAGACAACTGGCTGCAAGGGAGTTTTGTACCTGAGGTGGACGAGCTTTGGGGAAGGATGGGGAAGCCTGACCCCAGGAGCCTTCCAAGCGACTCTTCATTTATTATGTGAAGGTGCTTTGGAAGAACACCTTGTCCGGATGTGAGCATGTACGGGCAACAATGAGGTAACCGCGAACAGCCTTGGTCACAGTTCTTTGGGGTGGCAGATGTTATTGTGTCAGGTGCGAGAAAAGGCGGGCACGGGCTTGGAATCACTGGCAGTGTACAAGTGGCACTGATGGGATAGCCTGGAAAATTGGGAGTGTCATCTCCACAGCTGACCGAACACATCAGACACGACATGATTATGTATGGCACTCACAGCTATATGTCTCTGCCTGCCATGGGGATCTTCCGCCCAGAGCCACAGGTCAAGGCAACTTCACGAGAAGAAGCAGCTTCAAGACTGGCCATTTCGTCTTAGGTAAGCCCATGCCGGAATCCTCAGAATGACCTGCCAAGATTTGCCCCAGGAGGTCGAGACCGAAACCCTGAAATGACTCAAAAGGATGCAACCCTGCCTTGGCCTGCCACCATATATGGTTGTGTGCGGTTCGGGTTGGGGGAGTTGGTTCTCCATTTTACCTCTGCAAATCTTTACATAATCTCCTTAATTCCCTCAACTCTAGAGGCCGCTTTAAATTCTCCATGATGCGCCATGTATTATCCCCAAGACCCAATCCCAATCACACCACACCACTTCGGGGCAGGGGTCAGAGATACACCTATCATTCATTGTCACAGAATTTGGATAGGTCCAGACAAAGGCCCGTGCGGAGGCCCTTCATTGCTGCTCTTATATCATCAGGGTTTGAGACCACGACGCCCCTGGACCAGATTACAGAGATGAAAGCCGAGGTCGACCTGCTGCGGCGCCGACCGGAGCTGCTGGAAGACTAAGCCGGTCCTTGTGAAATGAGGAAAGCCTGCTATGCTGCTGTGGCACTTACGGCCACACATCCGCAGTGCCGCAGAGGTGTGTGTCGCAGTAGCTTGCTCGACTGATTGTGCTTTGCTTAGGGCTCGAAGCAGGAAAAGATAGGAGCCAGAAATCTTTGGCTATGGCGCAAGCAGTAAAGCTCAGCGAGCTCCCGGCTCCCCGGAAGCCCAATGATTGCAGCGAGGCCCTTGATGATATACTGGAGTGCACTGGGATGGAGATCCTCCGCAAGTCATGTCGAGCGGCAACGGAACCAGTTTTGCAGGACATAATTTTGAGAAAAAAACTGTCACGCTGCAAGTAGGAACAAGCCCTTCATGACCACTCGTGGAGAAAGGACCTGACGCTGCCACCTCGTAGCCCCCGCTGCTCGCTCTACACGTGCTTTGCTCCTGATCCTGGCAACACCGGCATGAAGGACTGCATTCATGCATTGCCATGCAATACTAGATCATCGTGCATGTGGCATTAGTTCCCGATTCACGTGCGTCGCCTGTTGGGTCTACAGGAAGCATGCAAGGCAAGCTCTCGCGTGAAGCAGGTGAAGCACGTGATCTCACAGCGCCGGCAGCTGGATCGTAGTGTTAGCCCACATCCTCGGCAGCGACCGCAGAGGCAGCAGTCGCCTTCTCGGCATTTGCGCCATTTCACAGCTGGCGGTGATCCCAGCAAAATCATGTTTGCGGGCAGCTCTTTTATTTGAACAGAGCTGCTGATCGCGCGAGTTCTTTTTAAGGAAAAATGTCCATGTTTTTTGATTCACCTGGGGATAGCCTCTTGGCTTTGCAACCAGCTGTCCCAGAAGCACTGATACAAACAATCCAGATGTTAAATGGGACACTGATTGCGCAGCTGCTCTGGCTGCATTTCCTGTTCACTGCTTGCTAGATCCATTGACTGACTCTAGCAGGCGTGTTGAAGCAGAGCCAGTGCAAGCTTCGAAGGTCACGCACTTCTTATAGCCGATGCCCTGTTGTGTCTGCATATGTCTGCATAATTGTCCAGTGTTCCAAGCTGTTCCAAGGGACCACTGCACGCTGCTGGCCAGGCTTTGGCTAGGCGCACCCTAAACCCTTCCGAATGTATGCCTAAGCCGAGCACGGCTTTTCTCAAACTCTCGAGGAGGTGCTTCGGGCATTCCTTGCATCAGCCGTGCAGTCGCTGACCGCTGAGATTTGCAGACTCAGCTCGACTGCCACAGGCTTGCCTTCCTGGCACCAAAAGGGCAGGACCCACTGAATGCAGAACTCACGGGGCAGGTGACAGAGGTGGAAGGAGAGCGAATAAGCCACGGACCCGGGCAAGGTCACTTCGGCCAAGCCAAGGGTCGCAGACCAGGTCTCGAACTTCGCTAGATTTCAATCTGACGTACACCGCAGGCTGGCTGCTAGCTAGGCTTTCTCCTTGACCATCTCTAGTTATAAGACTGTGTGCGGCCTGCGGCAACACGTTTTTCCAGAAGTTCGTGATCCCGGCTCCTTGAGGAGCTGAAGACACAAATCAAAGCTTCTTGTCGTAGAATAGAAAAAAGGAGGCAAGCTGCGCCCAAACGGCCAAGGATGTGGGCCCCCAACTGCTGTCTGCAGTACTTTCTGGTCAACGCTGGTGCCAGCAACAACTTCAGGTTTCCTTGCACGTCTTTGTGCCTGCAAGCCACACGAAGCAAGTGGGAACTGACATGTCGTATCCAGTGCTGGGCCACTTGTCTTTCTTACAGATGTTGTCTTGTATTACCATTGCCCGCAATGTACCTCTCTCCTGACGACAGCTGTAGAAGTGTAGGATTTGGAATTGCGGATTGCGGGCTAAAGATTGACAGTCTACTGATGGATGCTGTTGATGCTCTCGGCCCCTTGCTAATCGTTCATGGAGCATGCTGCCAAATCATTGCTAGTCTTATGACGGTGGATTCGTGGAGCCATTTGAGACAGGTTCCTAATTTGAGACAGTATCGCCTTGTTTCAGCAGACATGAGATTGTATTTGTGTATTGGCTTCTGCGAAGGCTTCCTAGGCGAGAAGGGGATCTTAAGAGCTTTGCCTCCAGCATGAAGAACTTGTTCTTGTGCATCATTTCGATTGCTTTGCAGCTATACATGGTGTTGTTTGATTTTCTGCGTCTGTGCGCGTATTTGAAACAGCGGCGGCCTCCAATGATGTTGCTCAAATGCTCAACGTTCTAGTGTAGGTACTACAAGCCAAGCAGCTTGCCTGAGCTCAACCCCTACAGCATGAGGTGAAGGTTCTCCACTCCGAGTTGCTAGCAAGCTTGAGTGAGCCACTCAAGTTTCATCGGCTTCAGAAGATTTTCATCATGGTAGCTGGCAGAAGACCTCGCTTCAATTTCTACGCAATAGCAGAACAGCAGCGAATAAAATCATATAGTGGTGCGGAGCCTCCCCTCCTTCACACGAATAAATAACATCAAGCTTGTTGGCCTTATCAAGTCACACGTCACCTTCTTCAGTGCTCGCTGCTCATTGCCCTTACATTGTGAAGGTGCTCATAGCATCATGCCTAGTGGTTGCATCAAGTCTTCCTCCTCGTTCTGCACTACAAATTAGGCATGGTCATGGTACAAATCAAACAATGCTTGTTTGCAGCCGACCTCCAAGTGCTGAATAGATGCTTACCTAGCTCTCACTGGCGGCGTTTTACCCGAAAGTCTCAAGGCCTCGTGAGGTTTGCGTCGGAGAGTAACGGACAGCTTTCCAGCTAGAATCCGCGCAGCAGTCAGTGCTGGCGTGACGATATCATGCTGATGAAGCTCCCGGATTCAATCCGCAGCATGTGCCGTTACAGCTTCTCAGGTGGAGAATTGCCTAATCATCGCATCGCAAGAGAGTGCCTATTTAGGATCGTGCTTGACTTAAAAGATGGCTGGCTTTCCCCAATTTTTTGTTCAGCAGCTCACCTACCCTTAGCCACGCCTCATCACGCCTCCTTTGAATGGGATCGAAGTCGGGCCTCCCATGACGTGCCTCCAGAACCATGCACTGGCCAACCTTGGAGTGACGAAGGACAACGGCTGGGGCTGTGATGGCATCAAAGCTCCAGGAGGATGCCGCAGTGGCCTCACAGGCTTCAACCAGTCGCAAGGCCTTCCCACGGCAAAGCTGGGTCCGTGTTCAATGTGTCTTTTGCTGCTTCCCTTTTTCTTTTTTTTTTTGGTCGCTTCAGCTTCATCTCATCTCGATGCCTAAATCCATGATCTTTTACATCGTCTAGGTCCGAAAAAGATCGATCATGTGTTTCTCACCAAAATCCACATGAGGAAGTAGGGTGCCTAACGCTCGTGAGCCCCTGTGTTGAGCTGCCACAAGTCCCTCCAGGCATGAAGCGCTTCCGCTGCAATGCCTGCGATTCTCGGCGAAAGTGTTCAGTTCGAGAATGTCATTTGTTTTTCTGTTTGGAGTCAGCATCGCAGCTCAAGACGCAGACAAGTCAATGACAGGCCGTAATAGCCCAGCTGACATTTCTGCCAGTCAGGATTACGATTTGTGCGAGGAATGCTACCTGGAGCGCCTGAACAGCAGGCGCTGCCCACAGGGCCACGTTCTCGCACCACTCGGCACCACACGGGTCACTTGGATTTGAGTATTGAGACGGGCTTCTTGATGTTTCTGTCGGAGGATTTTTTTGTAGCATGTGCAATAGCATTGTGAAGATTGAATATCTGGGGCTCCAGCGAAGAGCAACTAAGCCTGGTTGGCGCTGTGATGGAGAGCGAGAAGGCGGTTGCCGGAGCGTGGCGCGAGGCTTTGAAAGTACGCGCAACCTCAATCGTTTCCGATGCGAAGCATGTGATCCACGGCAGCGGGACAGGGGGAATGCATCACCACTTTGTTTGCAAGCATCTCGTTATTGCCACACGATGCTGTAGAGTTTCCGTGGCAGTCGGTAGGAGGGGCCAAAGATGTTGTGCTGCTAAGGATTACGACTTGTGTGAAAGGTGCTATGAGCTGCCACGGGCAAAGTATTGTGACTTAGTTGATAAAAGATGCAGCGTTGTTCCATGTGCTGTGTCATGAGTGAGAGGAACGGAGCAACGATGAATCATGGTGGTCAATATGATGATAGCATCGATGAAAATGAGTTGTGTGGTGGTGGTGGGGGTGGGGGTGGGGGTGGGGGTGGGGGTGGGGGTGGGGGTGGGGTTGGGGGTGGGGGTTGTTGTCATTCGTTGACACCCTCATAGCGCAAAGAACTTTATGCAAGCTGTTAGCCTGAAACCTCACCAGGCCGGTCTTCAAAACAGGGGCAACCCCTTACCCCCCCCCTCCCCCCCAAAAACAAAGAAAAACACACTTAGCCGCCGAATATCACCATTCTCAATAACTGCTAGAAGAAGTACGCAAAAGAAAGAGCAGCAGTGACGGTAGCAGTCAGCTTTCAGAGTCAGAGTTATAGTTGTAAGTTGTAAGTGGCAGCTAAGCAAGGTATGACACAAACGCTTGCCACATGCATCCACGCTGAGTTCCTCTTAAGTTCAGAGCCTTGCCACCAGGACACACACTAGGCTCATCCCGCAAACCACCGCACACCTAACAGCTTCAATCGCCAATCCTCCAACATCTGAAGCCCATGGGAGCCTCCCCAAACAAATGGCAGTGGCCACAACTATCCCCAGACTCATGTCGGACCCCAGAACCCTAGGGGTTTAGGGTTTAGGGTCTTGAGGTGGACCTATATATGGTGTATGGTGAAAGGGGGCGGTGGTGCCCCCACATGGCAGGGTTTTTTGTACGGAGGGAATTGAGCGAACCCAGGGACCACCTCTGCATATACACATGTATAAACAATGCTTGTAAATCCGTATAAGTACGTGGTCTCATCCCCATACAATAGAAATTCACAAAGAGGGCCCTGACATACTTCCTGCTATCCCAAAACCTCTCATGCATCCACACCCACCGTGGGGAAGGGGGTACAGCTCTTGTGAAGATCGCATATCATCCTTG